GCTCCCTGTGAGTGAAATTGAACCAAACACAACAGGACGTTCTCCCAGGCCCCGGCTTCCTGGTTGCCTAGAAACAGGGAGAGGATCTGATGTGCCAAGCTGCTCCCCCAGTGCCCACAGAGGCTAACACCCTGCCCCTTGCCCTCCTCAGACTGCGTCCTCCGCTATCAAAGGTGCTATTCAGCTGGGCATCGGTTACACCGTGGGCATCCTCACCTCCAAGCCGGACCGAGATGTTCTCATGCAAGACTTCTACGTGGTGGAAAGTGTGTTCCTGCCCAGGTAAGGACGTGTGTGTCCATGGTGACCGGTGCTGGGGCCACGCCCTCTCAGGTGTGCATGCAGGGACCGGGCCAGGACACATGTTTCCATCTGGGCGTGTCTCATTTTAACGTGGACGTGGTGGACCAGCTCCTGTGGCTAGTTATCATGTGTTGTGAGGAAGGTTCCACCAAACCCCGAACGCACTGCCATCAAGTCAATGAGGACTCAGGGTGCGACCCCCTGTGGGTTTCCGCGACTGTTAACTGTCTACAGGAGTTGAAAGCCTGGCCTTTCTTCCTCAGAGATGCTGGTGGTTTTGAACTGCCAACCATGCAGATCGCAGCCCAATGAATAACCACTACACCAACAGGGTGCCAGAGGCAGGGTAGGAAGGATGAACGGAACCGGTGCCGAGAGTCCATGGGCAGGTGGGGGGCCACCAGACAGTAGAGTTTGCACTGACTGTGGGCGAAGGGTCCCCAGAAGCTCGCACGAGGGCCGGGGATCGGGATTATCCCCGTCAGGAATAATGAGCAGGGGGCACAGCCGGACCTGAAATCTTAGTCCAGTTTACAGCTCCTGTTTCTTTTTCTTATCACATTTTAGTGGGGGCTCTTACAGCTCTTATCACAATCCATCCACCCATCTATCATGTCAAGCACACTTGTACATTTGTTGCCCTCCTCATTCTCAAAGCATGTTCCTTTTACTCGGCTCCTGCTGCTTGACCCTCCCCGTAGTCCTCCTCTGGGAAACCGGAGGTGCTGGCCACTCGGACACCACTGCTGTCCACAAAGAAAGTTGTCTATACATCTTGCTCTAGCTCTAGTCATATTTTGCAGGGAGGTGACTGGATTTTTTGTTTTTGTTTTTTTTTATCATTTTATTAGGGGCTCATACAACTCTTATCACAATCCATACATACATCAATTGTGTAAAGCACATTTGTACATTCATTGCCCTC